CTAACCTAATGTTAAAGTTCACATATTTAAAAAGTATGCATCGTTGTGAGAAACCTAGGATGATAAGAATAAAATTAGAGTTTTCAAGATGTAGGTTGTTGCAAGAGATAAAACCTTAAATGATTTGTATGGTACAATATTAAATATGGTACAAAGGATAAAAGATAGTTAACAAAGTGATTATAACTTTCTAATAAAAATATTTTCTGTTCAAAGCTTTTTACTACAAATACTTTGTTTTTACTCAGAAAGAATAACAATATGGTTACCAAAACTTGATTTTTGTTTGTACTGTCTGTCTAAATTATCTTTCATTACTTTTAGGATGGAATCCATAACAAAGATGGAATCAGATTTTAAAAACTGTCATATGTTTCTTGTGACAGTTCTAAACAAAGCAGTCTGTAGAGGCTCTTTTCCACATTGTGAGTATTTAAGGAAAAAGGTATTTTTTAATATTAACAATTTGTTGTTAAACATTTAGAATAATGTGTGCAATATTTACTTTCTTAACTTGTAGCCCTAAATACTTCTAATCATAACTAACATACTATCAACTATATCCTATATAATTGGAGGTATATATTAATTAGAATTGTTAGAAATTTGTGTTACTTGACACTAAGAAGTATATCATAGTTTTATCCACTTCTGAAATATTTTGTTCAAAAGACAGTTTATTTTGATCCTAAATACTTTATTTGTTTTTGATTCACAGTGGAATCTTTAGCTTTGTCACTCATGGCTGGAATGCAACAAACTTAACATGACATCCAAGGATGAAATTATACTCAAGCAGCAACTTCTTTGAAACAATGTGATGTTGGCTAAAATGTCCTGTGATTTATGTGGCAAGCATTTTGTTTTAATAAGTTCCAGTACTTCAGTCCTAGGTTTCTCATATGTACAATTGTATAGTTATTACACTTGAAACTGTACAAATGTAAATAATGAAACTATCATTAATTTTATATGTGAAATGTTTGTCTGACCAAACCATATTTTTATTTTCCTAGGTGAGGCACAAACATCAAAACAAATGTTGTAAAACTAACCTTAAATATTTCCATTAAGATTACCAGTGCATAAGTTATCAGTTTACTTAAATGTAATATTACTGTTGTTGGGTTGAGTTTTCTTTTCCCCTCTTTAATGTATAACTATTTCTGATGAAGTTAAATTCACAACTGTAGTTGATGTAATAAATATCAGATTTCAGTAAAATTGGCATTGGAAAAGTACTTTATGATTATCATTTTTTATACTGCATAGAGTTAATTTTTTGGCGTTGTTAATAAATATTACTGAGTTTTTAAATTTTGCAATGACAGGGAGCCTTAGTTTAACTAAGCCATTCATTCAGTGACCATTTGAAGTTACAACAATGCTGAGCAAAGAAAGGTATGATGCAATGCTGAAGTAGGAAACTTAACAAATATTCCCCAAATTTTGGCTTTTGCAGCATCCTGCTGTCAGTTGATCATCACTTGTGACATTAACTGCCAGCTTCTGATAATCAAAATAAATGGAGAGCATGACATTGAAGGGGTTATAAACAGGAATCACATGACATTGTGCCTAATGATCATGGGGGAAAACAACCATAACTATAACTGCCATTGTAATTCGACCTAGGCCCATGATACTGTTGCAGGATCAAGCCTGGATCAGTTACTGGGACCAGATTGTGCTAGACTGTGCTAGAGAGAGGAGCCCTGCAACATTATCCTGGAACGTGTACATTTGCCTTCATTCTTGACATGATACTGAGTTTTGATAGAGTTGATGATAGAGTTCCTGCTCCCAATTACCATTGTTAACAGAATTATCTATATGACTGCTGTTGATGTCAGTTCACAAATAATGTGAATATATCATTTTCCTTACAGTACAAATATACATGATTATGATTATGGCATAAGGATTGAAAATGAAAAAAAAAGTCTCAGAGTTGGCTCCAAATTGGTCATTTTGCAAAAAAAAAAAAAACTCTGGATCGCTTTTAATAATCTGCTGAAAGATGTAGTTGAATGGAATGTCCATAAGACCACAGTGCAATATTGCTTATACAGTGGTAATCTGAATGGAGAGTTGTCGGAAAGAAACACAAAAGTAATCTTCTAAAATACACACACACACACACACACACACACACACAAACACACACAGAAACAATAGCTGAAACAGTTTGGAACAAAATACTTCAAACTGGTTAAGCAACACTGTAATATTCAGTCACAACCAGGCAAGAAAAAAGGATGCAATAATTGAAGAAACCTTGACTACCGTTAAGTATATGGATAGTTCTGTTACGCTTTGGGGATGGGGTAACATTCAGCAGCACAGCATATATTTTGCAGATGGAAAGAGTTCAATTAAATATCAGTATATCCTAAAAGGTAATATCCCACTATCATTTAAGAAACTAAAGCTAAAAAGAGGGTAGATATTTCATCAGACTTCAATCTGAAACACTGCCAAATCAACCATGAATATTTGGATGAAAGAAAAAAAAAGTTTTGGAACATCCTTCACATTCCCCAGAATTGATTTTTGTGAATCTGAGGAAATACCTCAAACACATGATGCATGTAAGGAGACTCAAAAATATTTGTGAACTAGAGCAGTTCTGCAAGGAAAAGAGGGAAAGGTTCTAAAAGCAAGAAAACAAAAACTACATAGGAATGTTGCCATTTCTGGCAAAAGATTTTTCCAAAGTCCAAACATTTGCACTTGCCATATTGTTTATAATTTACACAACTGCACATGAACAGTAAATCTATGCAACTGGATCAGGTTGTCAAATGCTATCTCATTCTGGAAAAATTGTAGGGGAAATACAAAAGTTGCACAATTCTGAGCACGTACTACAAACTTTTATGGCCATAACTTCATGACCGAAAAAAGACTTCTTAAGTTTTTGTTCCTGTTTTGGTATTAGAACTGAACTAAACGTGAGTTAGAATTTTTCTGGGACAGATGTTTTACTTGGAGTATATCAGTTACAAAGTTGTTGGTGATTGTAAACAATTGAGAAGGAATGATTTCATGAGTCTCCTCTTATAACTAGTATTTCAAATGCCTGCCCAGATTATGAGTATTAAGGTAGGGCAGGAAGATATGAAAATGTTCCTATTCAAACATTTTCTGAATACCTCATCATTTCATATAATTCTTTACTGAGACAATGGCATTTCAATTAAAGACTCTTTGATGGTGCAGTTTATTTTCTTGAAATTGATTCTGTACATTCTGGCAGTTGCAGTAATCACCATGGCTAACTCCTGTTACATATTTTCCTTTTTGAGCATAAGGTGTACTACTACTGAGGAAAAATTATTAGAATGTACTACTGTATTGAGAACCAGATACTAGAAACAAAACAATGTTTCTGCAAAGAGCAAGATCAACATAAGAACAAACCAAGAATGGACAGTATTAAAATCATGAGGTTTACCTTTCTTTAAGAACAAATAATACTAGTTATTTTTCAGAAAGGACTGTTAATGCCAGTGGCCTGCTATGATAGTGCTACTTATTGTAAAGTAATTTATTGGAGCCATTCTCCTTTTTAGTATAAGGTGACATCTGCCAAAGGATTAAGTCTCCCCATAATCCTAAAAAAGAGAGGAGATCAGACCATTTCAGGCTTTCTGTCTTCGATTCTCATTTAAAAAACAAATCTTCTTTCAGAAAAGAATGAACAATCTAATATGGAGCTTTAGAAAAAAAATTGGACCTTTAAGAGCAAAGTTGCTTTGCCTGTAATGTACAACTTTTTCAATATGCTTGCTGATACAGGATTCAATCGGAAATTCTATATAGAAAAAAGACTTGTTAAAATTATTCATAATTTCAGATTTTTTTTTAAATCTATTGTCAGGCAGAGCTTGGACAAGTCCCTGCAGTTTTCTTGGCAAGATTTTTCAGAAGTTGTTTCTCATTGCCTCCTAGGGTGAGAGAAAGTGACTGACCCATAGTCACTACAACTCATGATCTTCTAGTTTCTAGCCTGATGGCTTAACCACTCAATTGGCCTTCCTAGATACAAATTAATCCTAATATAAATTTTAAGGCTTATATAGCTCATGAATGATATGTTCTATTGAATGATTCCCACTATTAAGATAAAATGTGATTTGTTTTTGTTTAGCATGATATGCAACCTTGCCCCACCTGCAAATCGCCGTTCACAGTTAATGTAGTTGCAGTCCATTAATACAACCACAATATATTACAGTTTTGGCAAGAATCATTCTGTAGCCTGGATACACCTCATAAAGAGATTCCTTCTGGATTCATAATCTACAGGTAATCTTACAACCACAATTGATCCAAAAATTTCTGTTGATAAAAGTTTTTAAGTGAGTTTTGGCCCATTTTACAACCTCTTGCCACAGTTAAGCATATAAGTTAGTAATATGGTTAAGTGAATCTGATTTCCCCATTGACTTTGCTTGTTAGAAGGTAGCAAAAGTTGATCACATGACCCACAGGACACTGCAATCATGAAGACATGCTAGTTGCCAAGCCTCCAAATTTTGATCATGTGACCATGCAATGTAATGTGAAAAATGGTCATAAGCCACTTCTTTCCTGTGCCATTGTAACTTCGAACAGTCACTAAATGGTTGTTAAGTCAAAGACTACCTCATATTATAGTCAAAATTTGCAACTTCAGTTTATGGTTAAGCAGGACACCCTAACTTGGTCCACTTGGCTTGTTTTCTCTGAATAAAGATTCACGGATGACAATTCACCTCATGAGATCACAGGTGACAGTATTTGCAGGTATGTAGAAAGTAACTTTTTTTCTTTCCTTTGTGAGAAGGAGCCTTGGGAGCTTTGCTCTCTTCTACTAGAAACCGGGCGTGAAGATCAGAAAGGGATTCCCTCACTCGAAGGAGGAGCCGCGGATAGTTCCCTGGGCGGACTGACTGCTTCCGAAAGAGATGGCCGAGGGTTTCGGTCGGGACGGGGGAGGAGCCGGAGTGGGAGGAAGGGTGTTTCCTTGCACTATTTCCCGGTTTGACTCAGGCAGGAAACTTCGAGCGTCCGGCGGTCCTGGAAGGGAGCACGGGGATAATCCCGAGGGGCAAGACCTGAAGGCAAAGCCGGAGACAAAGCCTAAGGGGGAGTGAGGCCGTCCCTCGGAACGGCTTGCATCTCTGGGCGTGAGGACAAACCCACAGGGCCTCCTCGGCACGAAGCTGGGTGAGAAAAACTTCCATCGATTTTTCTTTCCGCTTTCCGTCCGAGAAGAAGGGAGAGCCCGTGCCAGGCGGCTCTTCTTTTCATTTATGTAACGCTGGCCGTCCCTGCAGGGAGCCTCGCGTGCAGGTGGCCGCGCACACTTGAAATGCATTTATTTCCACGGCGCGGCCTAACCGGGGAGGCCCACTTCTCGTGGATTTTGGGCGGGTCTCCCTCGCATACCAAATTCCGTGGAAGTTCAAGCTTCCGGGACATAAAATGCCAATTTCTTCCGCGGCGCCTAATAAGTTTGTGCTTGGAGCTGCGCGGAGGAATCCCGAAGAGGCTGCTGGGTTGAACAAGTCCAGTCTCGGTGCAGAGGTGCGGCCTTGGAAGCATCGTTGTTTAAGTGGGATAAGCCCTGGTGTCGGAAACAGCCTTTGGGGAGATAAGAAGGGAGGGAGAAAGAAGGTTGCACACTAGGAATTGTGGTGGAAAGGGAACAACTGGAGAGGTTCTTCTTAACTCTGCATCTTATTGAAGTTGTGATCCATTTGAAACAATTCAGACGTGGGTTCCTTTTCCTCAAGTTTGCTGTAAATTGCAGTGTAATCGCAATTTTTTCCCGAAATTTGAAAGAAATCTCAGCCAATCTCACTTAAGACTTATGAATAAATTCAGAATTCTTAACCAACCCATCCACAGATTTTATTAATTAAGTTTGACGGCCTAGTGTCTTTTTATTAAGAATAAGGGTTCGTTAAAAGCTGGGAATGACCTTTCCTATTATAATAATGGCATCATGCACACAATTTATACTTATTAGAATTCATTGAAGGAGTGGGAAATAGTCTGCTAATGTTCACAGTGTGGGAGGAAGTAGATCAGAGCTGTAATCCAGTGGGTATTTACTTTGAAAGTTGCAAATATATTTCAGGCTTATGTTTGCAAATCATGTCTGTATTAGTTAATTGCTTGATCAATTTTCTGTATTTCTATAATAAACCAAAAGCTAACATCATGAACCTAAAGCTAACATCATGTTTCAATTTGCACTAAAGGATATCATAGTTGGTGGTTTGGTTGATTAGCCTCTAGGGTCATATGTAGTAGATTGGAAACACAACATGTGATGAAATTCAGATTATGTACCTTCAACATTTGCTGGCTTTCCTCCTTTTACTTCTTACTTTAACTGACAATTTTGGAAACTTCAAAAGGCTGCATATTACTTTGTGTTCAGTAAGTTGACTTTATAAAGCAACTGCTTTTATCATGGATTTTACATTTCAGTTACAACATATATATGTATTTTAGTAATGCACTGTTAAAATTGATAAATCTAGATATAAGAAGCTACTATAAATTCTCATGTACTTGTAATAAGATAACAGATTTGTGGTAAATATGGTGAAAGGAATAGTTACTTTCAGTCCTTAAACTAATATAGAAACTAATTTTTAGAGTAGCTTTAACCACAGTGTTCATGCACATGCAATTGATGTGCATTGTTAGTTGCTATGTAGATTTTCTTTCACAGCTGGTTTCAGTCTGTTCCTATCAGATTCTGATCGGAAAACTAGTTTGAAGAAGCTGTTGATTGAACATCTTATGGTCTTTATTTTGCAGTAAATGGTTTTATTTACTGTGAATATTCATTTGCAATAAGTGTTTTATTTTCCTCAGTTTTTGTTTCTAAGTATTTATATGTCATTTCCCTCTAGATGCTCAAGGCATTGTACATAATGCACTTCTCCATCCCCCCTCCCAATAGTTTTGTAATGTTTGTTGGGTTGAGAGAGGAGGACTCCTTCAAAGTCACTCATTCATTTAATATGGATTAATTTTATTTTGGCAGAAGAAAGTTTTATCTGATTAAAGAAAAAAAGTAAAGCATATTTATTCAGAAGAACGGTTTACCTGATTATGGAAGATTAGGCAGAAAAAAAGTTGTCTGTATATTTACAAATGATCAAAAACTTTTCCCCAGAACATAGCATGGCAGATAGCTCTGTGGAAGAAGGATTCAAAGTGCATAGTTGGAGCAGTCTTTGAGGTTGCTTTTCCTCTTCTCATGTGGCAGCTGCTCTTAAAAGGAAAGAAACATCTCTAAGATGATCATCTGCTTTCTCTCCTTGAAAATTCTCCCAACTATAGATGCCTTTTCTGATGGATGGAAAGGGTTTTCTTTCATGCTTTTGAAGTGCTTGAATAACAGCTTTGGTTCTGGTATAATTATATTTAACAGTTGTCTTAAGGTGTGATAAAGTATAAATTAATATGTAAGAAGCAGTCATGTTTAATCAAGTTAACTAAAAAAAGTCCAGCATTTATTTGGATTCTTCCCAATGCTTTATCCTGGCCTGCTAAAATACTCTAACTAAAATACTGTATATGTTGTTTTGAACAGTGTGAAATTTTGTACATTTTGTTTTGAACTGCTTGAAATGTGGAATTATTTAAAAGAGTGTTAATTTAAAGCCTAGTCATCAAATGGAGAGGATATAACTCAATTTACATTGTGCTTCAGATGCAGCAGAGACATGGTATAGGTGTTTCTTAAAATATTAGCTGCAGACCAAATCAGGAACTAAAGTACACTAACTTGGCATCAAACTAGGCAAACTAGTTGTGTAGCAAAAAAGCAGTGGCAGTGGGAGCAATTTTTGACTTCCTACTGGCTTTCCCATTGACTTTGCTTGTAGAAAGCAGGAAACAGTGGAAATTATGATCTGTGACCATGGCTGACTGTAGCAGTGCTGCAGTGACCACAACTTTGCCAATATAAATGGTGTGAAGATCTTTGAAATTTCAATCCAATGAGAATAATGTGTCCTGGATTTTGGATACATTCTTTAAGTTAGCCCATTTGAAGTGGGCTAAAAGTTTTTGCCCTGTTATACGCCATTCTGCCCAATTGAAAATTATAAACAGGCAGACAGGAGAATTTTAGTAGCATATATATTACATAACAGAATAGATGGAACAATATTAGAAGTTTAATTTTGTTCTGTAAATTATATTTTGAAGGTATCTCTTTCATAAATGTCCTTTTATAAACTATTGTACCAGCATAGTTGAGATGTGGTTTACATATAAGAATACAGTGGCGGGTACTAGTGAACAGTAGATAGGTAACCTTATTTTTTTTTAGTGCTCCTCTGTTGCACAGGGAAGCATTTTAGTCATTGTCTTACTCCCCCCCCCCCCTTGTATTCACTTGTATCCAACCAAGGAGGAATGGGCACAATTATATAAAGTGATAATATTTCTACATTTTTAAAGTCTCACATTATTTTTCCTCCTAATTCTTCTGCAACTGAAGGGTAGAGGCTGCCACAAAAAGGAGGGGGTCAACTTATTTTCGAAAGCAACAGAGGGAAAAAGAAGAAACAATGGATGGAAACTAATCAACTTGGAATTAAGGACAAACTTCTAACAGTGAGGACAATTAGCCAGTGGAACAGCTTGCTGTCAGAAGTTGTGGATGCTTCATCACTGGAGGTTTTTAGAGGACATTGTGCAGTCACTGATATCTGACATGTCACTGACATCTGACATGGTATAGGGTCTCCTGCTTAAGCAGGGGGTTGGCTTAGAAGACCTCCAAGGTCCCTTCCAGCTCTATTCTGATTGATTGATCATAACTTTCCAGCAGACAGCTCCTTAACTGGTTTTAGATGACATGTCCTCATAATGCAACTTTCATCTCATTCCTAGCTCACATTTTTCTTTAGCTGTTTCAAATTACAATTTGTGTCGTTCTTATTCTCCCAACCAGTCTTGCTACATGAACAATAAATGTCTCCTGATGATGTCTCGCTGGGATCCCCCAAACTCCTACTGGACACTTTTACTTGTTGCTGGAACACTCCCTTTCCTCTGTTCCTGGTTACTTTTCATGTATATTTTGATTTAGGCTGCAGGAGAAGTTAGGTTCCCAACTTCCACAAATGAAAATGCCTGCTGAGGCATTTCACAATGCTCTATGCATTGTTTCTTGTATACCTAGGCCTAGCATTCTTTTGGAAGAGCTTTAGATCTGTTTTTAAATACATGTTTTCTTCTTTTGAAGAAGCAGGAGACCTGTATTTGTGTGTGTGTAAATTTTTACACTCTGACGATGTTAGCAGCGTTTAACAAAAGCTAAGTAGATAATATATTTTAAGTTCCAGAGAGGTAATTTGTTTAAACTGGGAAAGAGCCAAATTCTTCCAGAAATGTTTTGCTGGTTCTATTTCAAAAGACTACATTACATGTTTTCAGTTCTTCCTGTTGATATGGGTGTCATATGGCCTAGTTACTACTATTGAGGTGGGAGTTATGGTGATGCTTTGTATATTCCATAGCACAGGGGTCCCAACCCCTAGTCCATGGTCTGGCACCAGTCCACTGCATTCCAGAGTCCAGTCCACACAAGCACAGACCCATCCTCAGGATGCAGATAGCACATGCAATCACGCCCTCTGGTCCACAGAAAACCTCTCTCCATGGAACCTGCCCCTGGTGCCCAAAAGGTTGCCCCCCCCCCCCGCTGCCCTAGCATACTTGTGAGTGCTGGGGGCCATTTGTTGTCAGCTTTGCATTTTATTGCTGCACTTAGAGATTTGGTGTCTTACAGGCTGATCTAGAAATAAATAAATAGGCCCCAGGCTTATGATAAATAGGTTTATTATAGAAAAGTGAAAGAACCCATTATAGAATAATTTAAGCAACTGATGTGTATCTGATGCAAGTTTTAGTTATAATGAAATCATGGTACAAATTTTTGTATCAATGTGATGACTGTTGACTTGTCACTTGAACTGTTTTTGAATATGAGCCTCCTGGTGGACCAATAATTCTGTCTTCAAAATAGCTTGGCTGACAAGTGAGGCAGAGGACAGTCTTGATCTGCATTAACAAGAAACTCCCTTAAGACTTCCTCCAGCTTCAGCCTGCATATTTCCTCTGCCTCCCCAACTGTTGCACATCTATGAACAAGCTTTGAATTGATGTAGGTATCGTCTTTAAGGGGACAG